TGCGTGTGTGTGCATGTGTGTGCACGTGTGTGCACATGTATGTGTGTGCACATGTATGTCTGTGCACATGTGTGTGCGTGCACATGTGTGTGTGTGTGCAGACGTATGTGTGTGTATGCACGTGTGTGTGCACGTGCCCATGTGTGTGCACGTGCCCATGTGACAGGGTGCAGGTGACAAGGTGCGGGTGACAGGATGCAGGTGACAGGGTGATGGGGTGTGTGCACACGTGTGTGTGTGTTGAACATGTGTGTGTGTGCACGGAGCGGTGTGACAGTGCAGGTGTGCGGGGGGTGGTGGTGCAGGTGACACAGTGCGGGTGACAGGGTGAGGGTAACCAGGCGCAGGTGACAGGGTGTGGGTGATGGGGGTGTGGGTGACAGGGTGCGGGTGACAGCGTGGGTGCCAATCTGTGGGTGACAGGATGCAGGTGATGGGGTGGCAGTGACAAGGCTGCAGGTGATGGTGCAGGGGACAGTGCGGGTGACAGGGAGCGGGTGACAGGGAGCGGGTGACAGGGAGCGGGTGACAGGGAGCGGGTGACAGCGCGTGCAGGGCCCTGCGGCGCAGCAGCCGCGCTGGTGGCCCCGTGCCTGCCGGTGGTGGTGACGGTGACGGTGACAGTGACACCGCAGGCAGCTGGAGATAAGCCCGGGGACGTGCGTGTTGGCAGCTCCGCCACGCTGGGGACAGGGGGCCGGGGCGGGGGGGGGCAGAGGGCGTGCCCAGCCTGGGGACACGGGACGGGGGGACAGGGACACCCCGGCGGGCTGAGCCACGCCCCGGGCCCCGCTGTGGCAGCGTGTCCCTCCCTGGCGACGGGGACAGGGACAGGGACACGGACAGAGGTGCCAGCGCCTGGCGCGACGTGGCAGAGGGGACAATGGGGCTCTGTGTCGCCTAATCCGGGGCACGGGGCCGGGGGTTGGCACCCCGGGGTGGCGCGGGGGGGGTTTAAAGGCCAGACCGGCCGGTGTCCCCTGTGCCAGTTGTCCCCGAGCCCTCGTCCCCTGCGCGCTCTCAGGCCACGGCTCCCACCCCAAGGTACCGGGGGACACGGCTGTCCCAGCTTGGGGACCGCAGGGCCACCTCCCGGCTGGGGGTGGAGGGGGACAGGGAGGTCCCCAGGCTGGGGGGGGGCGCGGACCTGGAGGGACCCCGGTGGCTGCCTCGTGGATGGGTTTTGGGGGGTTCTTGTGCCATGTCACCGAGCGGTGTGTCCCCCAACCCTGCTCCCGGGTGCCGGCCACCCCTTGGGGACACCCCCCCGCCGCGTCCCCCTGAGGTCCCGGCACCCCGGGGGGCGGGGGGTGCCTCGGTGCGTGGCTGCCAGTGGGCACCGCTCAGCTCCGTGCCTCAGTTTCCCTCCGTGCCAGCTCTGCCGGGCACCTGCCGGGGCTGGGGACACCCTGGGGGCCGGGGACACCCCGGGGACCTGGGTCTGCACCCCCAGGGCACCTTGGCACCCCCGGGGCTGGGGGTGTTGCCCCCGGCTGTGCTGAGCTGGCACGGGATTACACTAATCCCTGGGAGGGCTCAGCCGGAGGTGCCGGGGCCACCGGGGCTGGCACCGAGGGGAAAACCCGGGGCCACCGTGACTGGCACCGAGGGGTCAATCTGGGGTCGCCAGGGTGGTCAACGAGGGGACAAGCTGGGGCCACTGGAGCTGGCACAGAGGGGTCAACCTCGGGACACCAGGAATGGCACTGTGGGGCTGGCACCAAGAGAACAAACTGGGGCCGCTGGGGTTGGCACCGAGGGGACAAGGTGGGGGCACCAGAGTTGGCACCCGGGGTGCCCCAGGAAGGGTGTCAGGCTCTGGTGGGTGCTGCGGGAGGGGTTCTCTCATGGGGGGCTCTAGAGGGGGCTCTCGGCACTGTGGGGGTGTGGCCGGGGGGGCTGGCAGGTCCCCAAGGAGCCACACTGACTCCGCCTGTCCTTCTCTTGCAGCCCCTCTGTCACCAGGATGGTGAGTGGCCCCCGGGTGGGGGGTCCGGGCGGAGGTGTGTGCCCACCCCGGGGACCCCGGCGGTGCCGGGCACTGGCGCGGGGCAGCGTGGCGTGCTGTGCCCACCCTCCGCGTGACCCCGCGGGGACAAGGGGACGCTTTGTCCGGGAGCTGGTGGCCCCGGCGGCTGGCACTGCCCCGCTGTCCCCGAGGCGGTGGCGCTGTGCCCGGCGCCCGCAGCCCCCCGGCACCGCGACACCCCCACCCGCGGGTGGCAGCGGCGCCCGGTGCCCCTACGCTGCGTCTGCGCCGTGTCCCCCGTGCCCGCCCGGTGTCTGCCCCCGTGACAACCCCGTGCCACACCCACGCCAGCCCCTTAGATCCCTGTCGGCCCCTCAAAACCGAGCCAGATCCATGCCAGTCCACGGCAACCCATTTAGCCCCGTGCCAGCCTGTTACCCACATACCAGCCCCTTAGGCCCGTGCCAGACCCGTGCCAAGCAATTAGCCCCACGCCAGCCTCATACCACCCCTATAGCAGCCCTTCAGACCTGTGCCAGCCCCATGCCAGTCCCACGCTAAGCCACTGGCCCCACAACAAACCCTTAGAGCCGTGGCAGCCCCACACCAGCCCTGTGCCAGCCATGTGCTCTCCCTTAGTCCCATGCAAGCCTCATACTAGCGTGATGCCAACCCACTAGCCCCATGCCAGCCCCGTGCCATCCCCTTGGCCCCATGCCACCGCCATACCAGCCCTCTAGCCCGTGCCAACCTCACATACCAGCCCCTCAACTGCATGCCATCCGCTTAGCTCTGTTCCAGCCCCATCCCAAGCCCCTTATCCCAGTTCCAGCCCCGTGCCACCCCCTTATCCCAGTTCCAGCCCCATGCCACCCCCTTCTCCCCATGCCAGCCCCGTGCCAGCGCGGTCCCTGCTCCCGCAGCTCTCGATGGCCCAGCCGAGCCCGGAGCGGGTGCCCAGCCCTGCGGAGCAGGAGTGGGCAGGGCCCGAGGCGCTGTGCCCAGGCTGGCTGGAGGACGAGGCCCCCGATGGCGACGTGCCCGGGGACAGCGGGGACCCCGACGGTGCCACCCACGCCTTCGAGCGGCTGCAGAGCGCCCTGTGCCAGGAGGGGCTGCCCCCCACGCTGGACTGCTCCGCAGAGCCCCGCACGGGTGGGAGGCACGGGGGGCACGGCGCCAGGCTGGGGACACGGGGGTGGCACGGGCTGGGGTGGGGGAACGGCGCCAGGCTGGGGACACGGGGGTGGCAGGGACTGGGATAAGGGAATAGTGCCAGGCTGGGGACATGGGGGTGGCAGGGACTGGGATAAGGGAATAGTGCCAGGCTGGGGACATGGGGGTGGCAGGGACTGGGATGAGGGAATAGTGCCAGCCTGGGGACACGGGGGTGGCAGGGACTGGGGCGGCACTGGGGGCACAGTGCCGGGCTCGGGACAAGGGATATTTGGGGTCTCCCAGTCGAGCTGGGGTGCCAGGGACAGGGTGGCACCGGGGTTCCCACCCCGGGGCTGTTGACCCTCCCCTTCCCGGCAGGATTTGGCCCGCTGGACATGACCGTTTGCATCCTGGGCTCCCCCACCGCCTTCCTGCCCGTCCTACTGGAGGGTGGCACCCGCTGCCCAGGTGGGAAAGGTCCCCTTGTCCCCAGCCCTGACCCCACAGTGGGGTGTCCCCAAACCCGCCTGTGCTGCGTGACCGGGGCTGGGAAGGAAACTGAGGCAGGGGAGGAGGGTGGCACCGACCCCCCGTGCCCCACTAACCCCAGTACACACCAGTCCAGCAGCAAACGCCACCCCAGGGTGTCAGGGGGTGCGGGGCCCTCACTGCCCACCCCCTGCCCGCCCCCAGGTGCCATGGTGCTGTGCCTGTCACCCACCTGGGCCAGCCGGGTGCCGTCGGAGTCGTGTCCCGGCGCTTGGTCCCTGCTGCTCTCCCAGGGGGTCTCCTTCAAGGTGGGGGGTCACAGCGCCCTGGAGACCTTCGTGCCCCCCCGCCGTGCCAACTACGTGACGGGCACGTTCGCGCCGTGGGACCCCGAGGGCGGCTGGGCGGCCGAGCTGGCCCGTGACCTCGACTGCCCCACGGGGGGCTCGGCCCCGCTCGCCCGACGCCTTGAGGACCTGCTGGTCACCCGCTGGGTGCTGGCGGCTCGTGCCAAGCTGCCCGTGCCCCCCACGCTGGCCTTCGTCCTGGGGGCTCGGGGGGACCTGCCCGCCGAGCTGGAGGTACCCGGGGTGAGGCTGGTGCGGCTGCAGGACCCCCAGGGCCAGGACAGCCTGGTGCAGGAGGAGGTGGGCGCCTTCTTGGGGGGCACCGCCATGGAGCCCTACAGCCAGGTGGGCACAGGGGGGCACGGGGGGTACCCACAGGGCATGGCAGGGGGGTAGGGGTAAGGGGCATGGGCACGGCGGGGCACAGGGGCACAGTGGAGGCACCTGTGGGTCACACACCAGTAGGGTGTCCCCTACTGGTGGATGAGGATGAGGATGACAACTGTACCGGGGTGGTGGGGTGGCTGTTGGGGTGGCCCTGGGTGGCACACTGGCACATGCAGGTGGTGACCATGGTGTGGGGTGACATGGGGGTACACACAGGTGGTGGGGTGGCTGTTGGTGTGGCACCG